AAWKKWARGSCMWTTWWTTYCMAAAAAAAAGTGTCTAAATTTACCATCGAATAAAGGCATTTCATTTTTTTTTTCTGTTTTACATAAACTCATTAGGAGCCTAAAATCTAGTCTAGCAAGTTGGGGATCTGACCAAGGTCAATCTGATGGTTTAGAATTATACCACYTGCACTGTTTAAGTTAGCTGTGAGAGGGACACAATCATGTTGGCGGAGTCGTGGCTCTACAGGTAGATGCATTTGGGGATAGATCCACCACATATTTTCTTGCAGAGAGCTCCTTTTCTGTATTTGTTGGCAGGTATTCTATAAGTTCCAATAATTAGTCATTTAAAATATTCAACAGTTTGGGTCTTTTTTGTAAGATGTTTTAAAATATCCTCAACTCAATTTTATAGAATTATCTTTGGTTGGCTTGTACAACAGAATCTTTTGAAGAATCTGAAATAATTGTTCAGAAGAAGTTTGGAATACACGCTGGGAGTTCTGTGTGACTGTATTGAGAACACTATTTCAGAGGAGCTAAGGGTCCCTCTGGTGGTGAGTAATGAGAACTCTTCTAGCTCAGCTAGTGTTATGGGTTCAAAGCTTGTGAAGAAGGTTAATAACTCYTGTTCCTTATGTGTTAACCCAGGACAAGGATAATTAATTATTTCACGCTTTTCTTTCAGTTCGTGTCAGAATTTTGGGCTGTTTAAGCATGAGCTCTGGGGAAGAATGACTGGGGAAGGATCCTGATGTCCTAATTTGCTCTGTTTAAGTTTCACAGAGCCAGATCATTCTTCTAGTAGCCCTAGGTAATTGTAAAACCTGGTTTAACAACTTTATTTATTTTTTTTGGTACTGAGGACTAAACTCCTGGGCACTGTACCACTGAGATGCATCCCCAGTCTTTATGTCTTCTTATTTTGAGACAAGGTCTTACTAAGCTGCCTAGGCTTAAGCTTCTGCCTTAAGCTCCCAAGTTGCTGGTATTATAGGCATGCACCACTATGCTCAGCTTCTTTAGTA